AAGCCCTAAACCCTAAACTCTCACCTTGGACCACGCCAAGGCCTGCGGTACAAGGCTCCCATGCTTCTTCTTCAGGGATGCACGCATCATATGAATGAGCCGGTGCTGCTTCCTCTGGAGGGTTGGGGCTGACGTCTGTATGAGCTGTGTAGTCTAAACTCCTTAAAGGGGGGATTATATGGGGGAGTACTATAGGCGGGGATACTACGAGCTTAGAAAAATGGCTCATATGTCAACTGTCAACTTGCTAGCTTCACAGGAGGGTTTTAAGGTCTAGGGTTTAATGTAAGGCTTATGGCTTGGGGTTTAGGTCTACTTTCCTACACCTTACACCCTGCACACCTTAAACCAATAAAGTCTGCGTCCTCTCGCCCTCGTCCAAGTTGTGCATGCTCTTCTCGTACTTCTCCTCTGGACATGCCCCAACCCGCCGCAGTTTAGGGTTTTTGGGCTTAGGGTTTTGGAGCCCGGTCTTTTCACGAAGGCTATCTATGGTAATGGGCGGGGCCCCAATACAGATCCCCAAATACTCTTCTCCATCTTAGAAGGTAACCCGCGAATTTTGATAACCTCCAAGATCAGATTCCATGGGCAGTTTGGGAGTGTAGACAGATGCAGAGTCCGCTTTTTCAGCTGATGGCACTCTGGAACAAAATCTGCAGCACATACCCAGATCCCAAACGGACCTAAAGACTAGACCCACCAGAAGAACATGAGGAATCATATAGGCATCTTAGAGGGGTTCTTTTGGCTTCATACACGGGATCTTCTGTTCTTTTGGGGGGGGGTCCTCCGAGGGGTCTGGGTTTTCGCTACGGCAAAGAGGTCGCATTCTTCAGCAAGGTACAAGCATTGCTTGAAGACAGCCCCATAGATCTAACGTATCGTTGGTACTGAAAGTATGTGACCTGATTACCATGATGCTGCTTAAGTGTTTAGGGTTTGGGTTTAGCCCAGGGCTACGAACTTCTGAACTGAATAATGTAAACACCTGTAAACCCCTAATTGATAAACCACCTCCCCTTAATGGGGATCATAATAGGGATCCTAATATTAAGGCCCTTTAAAAGGAGGTCTACATTATGTTTTTCAAGTTCACTATCACTACCTTCTGCCATTACAGCTGCTTGTGGGAGATCACGCCCCACCTCTACACCCCAAACCCCATGCCCGGAACCCAAAACACAAAACCCCAAACCTAGACTCCCAACCCCAAACCCTACAGGGTTTGGGGTCTAGGGTTACACCCTAAACCCTGAAACACTGAAACCCTAGAACCGAGACCTCATAAGCACACACTTTGAAGTCGTCCTTGCGCTGCAGGTAGACGTCAGTTGCGTCGATCAGCGGACCCTTTACCTACACTCTGCCCTTGGGGGTTTCGTTTTAGCTTCGGGTCTAGGGCGCTTAGGGATTGAGGGTTTAGGTTTAGGGTCTAGAGGGTTATATAGGGGATTATATACGGCTTTAGGGTTTAGGATTTATGGTTCAGGGTTGAGGGCTTAGGGTGTAGGGTCGGAATTTGCGGGTTTGGAACTGAGGTTTTTGGCTCTGAGGTCTGGCTAAAGGTTTAGGGCTAACCCTTGCAGGCTTAGATTCCTAGATGATTGAAATCCTCGACCCTAAACCCTGAAATCCTATTTCTGGATCACTTTTACTTGCGCTGCAGGACAGTTATCAGCGGATGAGACAGCTTTCCTCAGGCTATATACTTCCTAACCATTTTGTGAAAAGAAGGCAAGTCAGCAGTGAACAGATGCTTGCTTGCTCTGCTAAACCCCTAAGCCTTAAACGCTAAACAACCGAAGTACTTCGCGTTGATGCCTTTAGGGATTGGGGTCTGGGGTTTAAGGTTTAGGGTTTGGGGTTTAGGGTCCAGGGTTCAGAGTTGAGGCAGTAAGCTTTTAATTGTCCCCCCCTCATGTCCCTGCTCGAGATACAAGGAACCCTGTTGGTGAATGCGGGACGGCACCCAGGACATACATTGGCCCCTAAACCCTAAACCCTAAACCCTAAACCGCAGCCGGCCCAGGTTGGATTCACATTTTAAGAATAAAGGGAGGCTCGGTTTAGGGTTCAGGGCTGGGGGTTTAGGGATTAGGGATTGGGAATTGGGGCTTGGGGTTTAGGATTTGGGATCATCCAGTACGGGTGCATGAGTCAAAATTGGGGATAACCTGGGGACCTTAGCTTGGGGACACCTGACTATACATATATATATATACACACAGAGATACATATCTACAGATACAAGTGGGTCACCACAGATACTACAAGCAGGTCGCCTTTAACAGCTGCTAATTGGAGGTTGTGTTTTGCAACACTTCCGCGTGGCCTAGGCCTGACACCCACACCCTGAAACTCTATCCCGCACCCTCTGTCCCCACATGAACTCTAAACCCGACGCTTTATAATCCCTAAACCTCAAACACCGACCCCTGCAACCCGCGCACTCCAAACACTAAACACTTGCTGGAAGGCTCCAAAATGTGTCATGAGCTTGTGGGGGCTGTATCTAAGCTAAGCCCTGAATCCGGACCAAGCCCTGGACCCTACACACCAAACCCTAGCACTTTGCACCAAATCCCGAAGTCTATTGTGGATGGACGATCTCCCCCCCTGAACTCAATTGTGGATGGACGAAATCTTGCACCACCTCTCCTGCCGTATGAGCTAGAGTAAACTGCTAGTATCCCGTTTAGGACCCCTATAATACTCACAATGCCCTATGCAAGCGCCTCCAGGGAGTTTAGACTATAGCTCATGTACTCGTGATTTTTTGGGGACTCCCAGTAAAGGCTGCCCACATCCAATCCCAAACCCCAAAACCTTAACCCTGCAACCTCAAACCTATCCTGTGAACCCTGAAATTATAGACAGTGTGAGATCTCAACCCTATATCCATCAAGCCCGAAGCCCAAACCCAAATCTCTAGCAAACATAATGTGTACATATATATATATATGTGTGTGTGTATATATATACACATAGATAGATAGATAGATAGATAGACAGATACAGAGAGAGAGAGAGAGAGAGAGAGAGAGTCCGCCTTAAGTACATGGAACATGGAATTCCCAAAGCCATAGCAAGAACCTTACAGAGCCTATGTTCAATCCATTTAAGGGGGACTATGCCCTAAACCGTAAGCCATGAACCCCAAACCCTAAACC